TGTATCACAAATATGGTAGAGAGATAAATACAGTAAAAGGGTGTTAAGAATAGAACTGCAATCCTACCTATTATCTACTTTACTATAACAGTAAAGTAGTTCATACTTACTTGAAGGTGGTATTGTTTTCATCTTATACAAATCTACTGTAATATTATGATGTTCCATGTAAATTTTCATGTGCTGGCATGCTTACAAGTTAATAGTGTTATAGAATGCTCAGCTCTCAATGAGGGATTGTGTGATGTATTGCATTACATATGTCATCTATTTGCTGAAAGAATATGGTGTTTAGCAAAACTACCTGCTGAGCAACATAATAAGATTTTTGTACAAAGTACAAATTACTAATTATTGTATTTTATTTTTCTATGATTTCCTAAGAGGCATTATCAGGGTCTTACAGATGGAGTAAGCCTGTTTATTAAAATATCTATTAACAAATAAAAGTTATAGTTCTGGTGGTTGAATTTGTGACATTTTAGTATTGTATTGATGCATATTTAAAATAATTTGTTTTTTAATGTCTATTAAATCTAGATATTCTTTAGATACATTAGTAATTCTGGATACAAAATCATAAGTGTAATTTTTCAAAATAGTATCATTAAGGTCAAGACAAATTCACATAAATCAAAATAAATAATCGGTACATCTTTTTGTAGTGATTTTATATGGGCAAAATGTTTTGTGAGATTCAAGTAAATTTTTCAGACTGTATACAAATTGCAGATAACAGCCCTGGCCGGTTTGGCTCAGCGGTTGGAGTGTCGGCCTGCGGTACAGAGAGACCCAGGTTCGGTTCCCGCTAAGGGCACGTACCTCGGTTGTAGTTTGTCCCCGGCCCTGGTTGGTCGTGCGGGTGGCAGCCACTCGATGTGTCCCTTCACATCGATGTTTCTCTCTCTCTCTCTTCCTCTCTCTCCCTCCCGCTCTATCTGAACAAAAAATGGAAAAATGTCCTCGGGTGAGGATAAAAAAAAACAACAAAAAAAAACAAATTGCAGATAACAAAACTATACACATAATCACCTGCTCAAACAGCTTTAGACCATCAACATTCATTCCAAAAACTTCCAATAAATTACAAATCAGGATTTTCTATATTATTTTAAAAGTTTCTGGTAAGAAAATACATTAAAAGTATCATGAATTAATCAGAACAGTGCTGTATTCATCATCTCTCACTGTTACCTCTTTTATAATTCTTCTACCACAGTTTCAAAGCCAGTATCAAATTTAAACTGGTAGCCCAGGCTGCTTTTGCTCAGTGGTTAGAACTCTGGCCCATGGACCAAAGGGTCATGGGTTCAATTCTAGTCAAGGGTACAGTTTCAATTCCTAGCCCCAGTTGGGGTCATGTAGGAGGCAACCAATCCATGTGTCTCACATCAATGTTTCTCTCTCTTCCTCCTTCCCTTCCACTCCCTCTAAAAGTCAGTGGAAAAATAAATTCAGTGAGGATTAAAAAAGAAAGTTAAACTGAAATTAAACTGGTAATAAAGTACCTGAAACTTTCTTCCCTTATACAAGTATACAAATTAGCCTTCAGAAAATCACGTCATTTTTAAAGCTGCTTAATCTCATAAAAAAATGAAGAAAGCCAAACTAATTTCTTAAATCAAGTTGGAACAATGTTTATACTGAGCCTTGAGTATACTCTTGAGAGCTATTTTGGCAAAGCACCAAAACAACAGATTCAACATATGAAATATTTACTTTTTTTAAGGTCATTTTCAAAACTGGCATTTTCTAGATCCTTGAGTAAATCGTGGCTATTTCATCTCTAATAATTATACGTCATCACATCAACTACACTTATCTATTTATTTCGCTAATTTTTTGGTAAAATAGTTATCTGCCTAAATTTACTGAAAAGTTAGATATCCAATCTCCCCATTATATTTCTAGTTTTCACCCAATATTTTGTACTAACCAAAAACAGAACTCAACCCAGGGGCAGAATATAGCAACTCCAAACAGGAAAAATTAAGTCTGTCTTCTGAAGTTTTCTAAAACATAAGATTTCTGGCTACCTCCAAGGAAAAGAAAAAAAAAAAAGTCAAATTATGGCTATAAGCAAATTAGCTTCCATCTTTTATAAAAGTGAGTCATAATGCCCAAACACACAGAGCCAGAAGTTAAAGAAGCACCATATTTAAAAAGCCTGTCCATATAATAAAAATTTCAGGAATTAATGGGCCTAAGGCCACAGGATAAAGAAGAAAATATTTATTTGCATATTCCATTACTACTAGTTGTAAATTATTTTTTTTGGATATGCAACTATATAAGGGTTTTCTTTTGTGTTCGTTTTTGCATTTCAACAGAATCACTAAGCCAGAACCTCTTTTTTGGGGGGTGAAAATTTGGAAAACAAAAGAAAAAGCACCCCAAACTCATAAACGTACAATCCTCCCCTCCCCCATCATTACTTATGTATAATTCCTTCTAGTCCCTTTTTTAATCCTCCATTTAATAGGCCAAGTTAATTACTAGGCCAAAGAATAGGCAGGGTAGTAAACATAACACTAGGTAGTTGGAGGGGGTATAAATCTTATACTTATGACAACAAGGTAAATGAGGATTGAAAATTCTTTGAAGAATGTTTAAGTCAGGAACATCACTCATTGGTGGGGTGGTGAGTCTGGTGGATACAGGAAGATTGAAAGGTTGACCAAAAAGAATCCTAAATCTTTTAAACTATTTTATCTGTAGTCTCTACTTGAGAAAAATGTAGCAACCAAAATGTGGGAAAACGTGTGTGTCAAAATATTTTCAACGGGAGGATCCGTGAAAAACCCCAGTGCAGGGTTGATTCGGGGACTGTAAGCCCGTCACAGGAGATTATGCCTCGTGGGAGTTCGGCAGATCAGACAGCTGGGAAGCCAGGACACAGGCAACATCTCTTTTGCCAAACAATGGCTCTGAGTTTATTTCCTCTCCCAACCTACAGTAACAGCTTTACTTGGCCAGGACCCAACGTCTGAGGCCTATCAAAGCCCAAGAGGGTCGGTGCGGTGGGCCGCGGGGTGACCCCGGCGCACATCTTGCCCAGTGCGCACAGTCGTGTCCTGCAGTCGCTGCCACCACGCTGAGCCCGTGCCCAGCAACCACGCAGAGATTCCTCTGTGTCCCGGGCGCCACCCTGAGGGCCCGCACGTGGGGACTGACGTTCCCCAGAGGCCGAGGGGTGGGGGGGACGGGGGGGTGGGGGGGAGACCAGGGCGGAGAACAGCGCCCTCCGCAAACACGAACGCCAAACGTTTCCCAGCAGGCTGTGCGCGCGCCCACAACTCCCATCATGCTCCACCGGGACCGCACTCCTCTCAGGAAGGAGGCAGTTTACCGCGCCGCCGTGTTCACACCTCCTTTAATAGGCTTCCGTTCCGGAGCTCTTCGATCCAATCAGGAAGAGGACGGTGGCTGACCCGCTACGACCTCGGAGGAAGCGTGGCTTCGGGGCCGGAAGAGCCTCCGGTTGCCAGGGGAACGCCACGCGCCTAGGCGTCTGCCCATCGACTCACGCTCCGCCGGAGACGGAGGCTGCCGGTTCACCCGATTGTGGAGGCGGCTTTGCGCTGGACCAGCGCTCCTTCCTGTGGAGGCTCGGAGAGGGAAAGCTGAGAGCAGCCCGCGCCAGAGCCCCAGCCCACAGACGGAGACGAGCGAGCGCGCCCATTCCTGCCGCTCACCAGCTCCTGCGCCCGCAGAGCTGACCTGGAGACCAGGTACACCCCACCTGCAGTTGTAGCCAAAGGCGCTCCCTCGCCTTCCCCGCGCCTCGCCCCCTCAGCTTTAGGGTTGCGCTTTCCCTTGTTTTTCACTCTGTGTAGTTATTTTAATGTCTGAGAGATCGAAAAGGAGAGGTGGACTTAGCGGTGAGTACTAGGGACCCCAGAAAACTTCGTTGAATTGGTTTGGGCGAATTTTGTTTTTTTGTTTTGTTTTAACATTACCCAATTGAGGCGTTTTTATTTGGTGTGTGGGATGTGTCGTTGAATTCATAATCAAAAATTGAAAAGACGAATGAAAATGTCAGTTTTGGGGTACAGTGTGCTATAATTCGTTCTAGAAACATTTTTAAAGTTTACATAAAGTACAACTCATGCCCGACCACTGTCTCTATAGCTTACCTTCAAAGTTCTTAACCGTAGATAAAATCCTAATTTTTCAGGACTTTCTGGCAACAAGTAATCCTTTAGAAAGCAGTTTCTTGGATAACAGTCGAAAGGATTTGATTAACTGGTGTGCAGAGAGAGGAAAACAGTAAGCCACAAAACTGGAAAGGTAGATTGGAGCCAAATGTGAACAACCGTAAAAGCTGTGCATGAAAGTTTGGAATTTATTCTGAAAGCCAGTACTCAATAGTGAACATACATCAGAAACACTGGGTAGCTGTTTAAAATACAGATGCCCTGATCCCATCTTCAGAAATACTAATCTAATAGCATTAGTGATGACGGGAGGAGTAGGGAGGGGGCTGCAGAAAACTTTAATTCTACCTCACTGTGCACTTAGGACATGATAAATTAATGTTGAGTGGCTTGAATGATCTTTTTTTCCCCACCTTTCATGCATGCAAAAGTAAACTTACAGAAATGTATAATTACTAAGAAACAGAAGCACATCATAGTTGTGTATAAAGCAACTTCACAAACATTAGGTGTTTGTTTGATAATCCATGTAAAAAGGATGGAAAATCACAAACCAAGTCTCTGTGGAAAATGAATATTCAGTATCAAGCTTTTGACAATCGATGCTTTTTAGTAGATGCCCAGAGGGGGGTGATATGAGAAGTAATGTTTTTTTAAAATCTGTTCAAAATTGTATGGAAGATGGAAAACTATCTATGTCTTTATATCAGTGTATTTAGTACAATAAACAAAGTGAGTTATAGCAAATTTACTTTGAATTAAAATTATGTGAATTGTTTATGATATCAGAAGGCTAGCTTAAAGTACATTCTACAAATGCTTATCTTTAAGCTGAGATATAAAGGAGTCGATTACATGAAATCTGAATCTCCACCACAAGGAGAAAAACTGATTCAAGTGGGACAAATGGAGTACCTGACCTCAACCCCATTCCTTGGGTAAGGCATCTGTGGCTCTAAGGCCCCATGCTTGAATGGGTCACTGCACCTTTTTTTCCTGCACATTATGAGAATTTAGTTTTGAAACTTCTATCCATAATGATCTCCCAAAGGTCCTATGCAGAATTGGTGATGTAGCCTCCTTTCAAATGCAATTGTCTTCAAAGCCTGTTATCATTTAAGTTGTTGTAGCCTCACATCCTTCAAGGTATGGGGCTTTGTCTGGATGGTATAGGATAAAAAAATACTGAAGACGCTGTAAGATGACAGACTTCTGGAAACTTAGATGGCGGTAGGAATAAATCAAATAAATAAGCTGCTATTTAAAGAACTTTGAAAATGATGATCCAGAAAGTAATAGGAAATATTTGGAACACAGGTATATTGTAGTTACTGCTGTAGCAGTCCCTACAGCAGTTTAGGGCTGACAAAAGGGATATCTTTCTTCTCCCACCACATAATAATGTTTTGGTAGGTGATGGAGACCTAGCATCTAAATTTGACAATACCTTGCAAGGATATGAACAGGTTACCACACAGTGAGCAATATGCCATCAGCCGTATTATATAACTTCAGAATACTTCTGTTTGGATCTCTGATGGAGTTATTCTTTAACGTTTGCATTGGAAGGATTTTTTTCCAAAGAAAGAATTGATAAACAAATGAGTTAAACTTTTATAGTATTTTTAAAAACTAAGTTAAAATCTGAAGTCAATATTTACTTTCTTATTCTTTACTAGTATACTAAAGTTCTTTTAAAATAATGCTTAACAGGTTATTTCAGATAAATTATGGTTTAAGAAAACATTTATTGAGTTTTGATAAAATTGTGTGTGTGCGCGCATGTGTATATATTATACATAAACTTCTTCCTAAACGAATTTGTAGTGACTTAACAGATATATGTAAGACTAAGGGAAAATTACGATAAATATATCAAAATTCTTTGTTTCTACTGATAGAAAATACAACCTAAACTGCATATAATCAAGCAGATAAACAAAAACAGTGAAGTTAATATTTATTGCTTCATATTCTTGCAAAATACAATAATGGGGCTGGCTTCAGAAAAAAGATTTAGCTGGTGGCTCAGATGATCTAGCCAGAATCTCAGTTTTCCTCTATTTTTGTGGTCTGCCTTCTACTATCTAAGCTTCAGCCGTAAGGTCTAGGTGAACCCCATTGACTGTACAAAGTTCCAGATTTCCAGGAAAAGCTGCAGATATTTTCATGTATCACAAATGGTGGACTCCACAAAATACTGAGTTTAACCACATTTTCTTCTTAAATATTATAAAATTACAGTGAGAAATATACAGGTATTTCAAGGGCATTACTTTATGTTGCCAGGGGTTATAAACTGCCAATCTGCATTTCAGTTAAGGCTCCTTTCTAGTAATCAGCTTATATTCTATTTACTAAATGCAAAGCTACATTGACACGATTTTCACATCATTGTGCCTTTACATTGTACTTTTTTTCTCTTTATTGATTTGAGAGAGAGAGGAAGGGAGAGGGAGAGAGAGATAAAAATATTGATGAGCGAGAACATTGATTGGCCAACCCCCTGCATGTCTCCCACTGGGGATTTGGCCCACAACCTGGGCATGTACCCTGACCAGGAATTGAACTGGTGACCTCTTGGTGCATGGGTCAACACTCAACCACTGAGTCACACCAGCCAGGCACCTTATTAAATTTTTTTATATACATGCTCATATTTTCTATACTTAACGTACCTGTGGATAATATATGTTTTTTGTTTTTTTCTGACTTGCAGCTGGTTTGTAAATATTTTAATCACATTATGGGATTGCTAGACAGACTTTCCAGGTTGCTTGGCCTGAAGAAGAAGGAGGTTCATGTTTTATGCCTTGGGCTGGACAATAGTGGCAAAACAACAATCATTAACAAACTTAAACCTTCAAATGTAAGTATCTTTGTTAGATGCCTTATGGATTTTCTGCTAGAGAAGGTTTACATGCAAAATTATTTTGTTTGCCATTATAATTTCATGTAATCATGTTATGAAATCCTGTTAACATTGTAGTATCTTAAAGTAATAAGTATCAGCCAGCCATATTTGCAGTATATTTTATGTAGATATATAGGTAAGTCTTGATTATTTAAACTGGAATATTTTCCAGATATCCTTTTTCCTCAAAATATCTTCGCAAATTTGCTGAGTTTACTTTCAGGTAGTATTGCCTTCTTTCTAGCTCTCACTGTACAAGAGAAGCAAAACAAAGGGAAAGGTGAATTCTTTTTGTAGGTTCTATGGATAATTAGACAGTTTCCCAAGAGTGTGGTATGCATATCAGTAGTAGTAAGCACAATGACTTTCAAGTCATTTAAGTAATAAGTGTATTACTTTAATAAATGAAAAATATATAAAGCTAGTACATTAAACACATGATGCATAAGTTAAAGCTAGGTTCTGCAACATATAAAGAAAACCCACATAAAAGTGGACTAAATAAAATAGAGGTTTCTTTTTCTGTCATCTAATTAAGTCCAGAGGAGGTATTCCAGGGCAACTGTGGCTGCTCCGTGGTCACGAGAGATCCAGGTATCTTCCATCTTTCTGTTGTGCTATTTTTAGTGCCTGGTTTTCATCCTCAAGATCTCTACATGGTTACTTTGGTTAACTATCATATCTGTATTCTGAGTTACAGGGAGAAGAAAAAAACAGGGCAGAAGGATAGGCCTTCTTCCTAAATAATCCTTCTTTGAAGTTCCAACTGATAACTCTTATTTTCATCTCACTAGCTATCCCTATATGTAAATAAGGCTGGATCTTTTAAGCAGGGCATATTACTGCTTTAAAAAATAATGAGGGTCCTGTAATTATAGAAGAAGGGGGAAATGGGTATTGGGTAGACAACTAACATTTACAGTTGTAAATACACTTATTTAGGTAAAAACCATTAGTTAATGAAAAATATTGAGTAAAAAGATAATATGTACTGCACAGAAAGGGCAAACATTAGGGAGCTGGTACTCTTAATGACTGAATGACTAGAGAGTGGGAAATACTGCTCCTAAATATGATAGTTAAAGATAGACTTCCTTGCCTCCAAACAGTGTTTCAGGTTGTGCAGAACTTCCTTTTGCAACATCTTCAGTTTTACTTCTGTTTAGTTGGAAATTGCTTTGGAATTAAGAAAATGTTGTTATTTCTTTTCTTCCAGTCATTATTCCCTAATTCTACATAGATAAGTTTGCCATTTAAAAACAACTAACTACTGCCCTGGCCGGTTTGGCTCAGCGGTTAGAGCATTGGCCTGCGGTCCAGAGAGACCCAGGTTCAGTTCCCGTTAAGGGAACGTACCTCAGTTGCAGTTTGTCCCCAGCCCTGGTTTGGTCGTGCGGGTGGCAGCCACTTGGTGTGTCCCTTTCACATCGATGTATCTCTCTCTCTCTCTCTCTTCCTCCCGTTCTATCTGAATAAAAAATGGAAAAATGTCCTCTGGTGAGAATAAAAAAAACCAAAAAACAACTAACTACTGGTATTATTTTCAGATGGGCATTAGTTTGAGGTAGCTAGGATAAGAAGCTGAAAATGGATCTGGAAGGTAATGTAGGTGTTTTAAGGGGGCTTCCCAGCTGAGTTGGGAATTGGTTGAGATATATATGCCGACATCAGGCAGAGATTTTAAAATATCAGCTTTTGGAGGGCTGATATTTTTGGTTGATTTTGGAAGGTGGAGTTTAAGTCTGGCCAGAGGACTTGCTAACACTCTCTTCAAATGAGATTTAGCCTCCCAAAATTTCAAAGATTCCTCCTCAGGGAAAGATCAAGCTCTTCTAGGTTTACTCATACCTAAGAACAGATGAGAATGCATGCTTAACATAAGCATGTGGCTCCCGAGAGAGAGAGAGACAGAGAGACAGATAGGTAGGCAGGCAGAACCAAAGATATTTAGTTCCAGTTTACAAACTGAGCAAACAAGTCATTTTTCTCCCCAGTGAAGAGGAATAAATTGGGAAAGGGGAGATAGAGAAACTAAGAATGTCATTTTAATGGAGTTTTCTCTATATGGAAACAGGAAACGATTCTTCCCTAATAAAGAAAAGACTAGGTTAAAAAGCCAACATGTGGAAGTTTTTTACCTGACCTAGGTGGTTACAGGAGATTTCTTTATACATTCCTTAGGAGGAGGATACAGCATCCTATCTAATTGGATAGGGTCTGGAATTGAATTTAGAGAACAATGGATGTATGGTAAAAAAGTGGAACCATACCCAACTGGCCTCAAAAGTAATTTTTTTTTTTAAGTCATCTCAAATAAGTACAAAATGATTAAAACCAAAGCCACAGTTAATAGCTCCCAAATGGACCAATCCCCCAGTGCACATTCTGCTCAACGTGGGAGAAATAATGTTCAAAGAACAAAATAGAAATGACAGTCTCTTCCTCTATCATCCCCAACAGTATAGTGATTTCTATCCCAAGACATGGTTATTACCATAGGAATAATCTTTGATGTGGATGGGAACAGCTTTCTCCCTAAACACTGTTGGTCCTTTGAAGACACTTGCTCTCATTTTTTTTATCTTGGGATTTTTTTTCATAATTTCTTCTATCATTTCTAAAGATTTGGTGCAGAACAGGAAGAAAGCAGCATGTGTTCTGTCCATCTTGAAATTTTCTGATATTCTCATTTCATACTGGTCTTGCAGAAGACCTATTGATCCTGCTTCATACACTACATTAGGGAGAACCCCCAGGAAAAAGAAAAAAAAAAAGCCAGTGACAAAGGCTTTTCGATTAATCTCCTGTTGCTTTTCAACATCCCTGTCTCTCTGTTAAACTCTGGTGAATTATGGAACTAGCAACTATCCTTTCTCCTCAGTACAATTGACTTCTAGTCCTGAGAGCAGACTAAGTTGCTTTGCTGTAAAAAAAAATCTTGGTGATAATAGCGAAGAGGCCACATGAAATGGCACTTCTTAAAGACCCCAAAACCTCTGTCACACAGTATAGATATAACACTTGCTTCCTCCCTATCTTTGAACCAAAGAAGACACTCTGGTGAGTTTAGTATTATAAACATTATTTGTAGTAAATTAAATGAATTATAGAAATCTACAATGCTGTATCAGAAATGTTCTTCCAAAAAAAGTTGCAAATCTCATTTTAATGTAGTCCCATATATTTTGGTGGATAAAATTGGTTTCTAGATAAGTAAATACTTTCTAGACCTAAACTGGTTTTTAATATTAGGCTGTCCTAATGTCTGTTTATTGTTTATATGTTGCCTTTGCTGGTATTTTCTAAACTGATGAACAGGGAGAGAGGGGTTACATTTTAATCTGATTACCCTTCTCAAGAATCTGGTCTTAGCTGTCTTTTTCTTAGAGATGCACTCTATAAACACCTTTCATTTAAAATTCTTATTTTTTCTCCCATTTCTCAACATACATGCTTTCATTCTACCGCATCATCCAGTTTTATATTCTTAGCATTTAAAATAATCTGAACCTGACCAGTTTGGCTCAACGGTTAGAGCATTGGCTTGCAGGCTAAAGGGTCATGGGTTTGATTTCAGTCAAGGGCACATACCTGGGTTGCAGGTTCTAGCCCCAGCCCCAGTCCAGGGCGTGCAGGAGGCAACCAATCAATGTATCTCTTTCACATTGATGTTTCTTTCTCTACCTCTCTCTCTCTCTTTCTCTCTCTCTCTCTCTCTCTCTCTCTCCCTCCCTCCCCCCCTTCTCCCCTCCCTCCTTTTCTTCCAGTCTATCTAAAAAAATTAATGGAAAAATATCCTCAGGTGAGGATTAACAAAAAAATAAAGAAAGGAAAGAAACTGACGTTATCTTGCATATTCAATTGGTAACCTGTTTATTAAATTTCCTCCACAATTTAAATTTAAATTCTTAAGAGCATGGATCTTGTATTGTTCAACATTTAAGCCCAGATACCTTGAATATTGCTTGGTACTTAAATATATTTTTGGACAAATTGATGGATGGCTGATTTTTTTCATTTTCAATTTGGGTGGCAAGGATGATGGGTAGATATCACTTTTTAAAGAAATACGTTTTTGTTGATTTTTAGAGAGAGGGAGAGAGAGATAGAAACATCAATGAAAGAGACACGTTGATGCTGCATTCTGCACGCCCCACACTGGGGATCGAGCCTGCAACTGGAGCAATGTGCCCTGACTGGGAATCGAACCAGCAACCTCTTGGTCCATGGCTCACTGCTCAACCACTGAGCCACACCGGCTGGGCCCAAGTATATCATTTTTACTAGACTTAATGAAACTAACCAACTAGGGCCTCTCTCAGAAGTCTCGTTCTCTTGTTGATACTGGTCTATCCCTGGGCTATCTCAGCCCTAAGTGGTGTATCCCACCTAGGTAATAATTCCTATACTCTTTGTTTACATTGTACTATTCCCTGTCCAATTTAGAGAATGATCAAAACGCATTTGTTCCTGGATAGAGCCTAGGAAGAGAGATGTTGGAGGCAATTTTTTAGAATTCTTTAGAGGAAAATGAATCCCACTTGACTGTAGAAGCATCAGCTCACATACCATGTTCTATCCTGATTAATTTGTGGAGGAGTTTCTCCTTCCTGTATCTTCCATTAGAACTTTAGAAGTGAGAGGAAGAAAAAAGGGAGGTTCTCTGGGAACAAAAGAGTTTGTGGAGAATATGGGCATTTGTGGAGAGGCTATATAAATGTTTTACGATTCAGTGAAAAAGGCTACTATTTTCAGAGATTTCTTAAATCCTTAACTTTCTCACTTTTTTATTATTGGTATGTTTTTCCTAATAATAATAGCTGATTATTTTATCACAAGATTGGCACATGAAAACCTTTAAAATCAAAACAGTAGGGTATTTGGGGGCAATAAAAATTAGGAGACTCTATATTCCAAATTTGTTGTGCATTGAAGGTATGAGGCAGGAATCTGAGTAGGAAGAAAAAAACTGTCCAGAATCATCAACAAAAAGAAAGATATTTTTGGAAGAATACTAGGTACTTCATAAGAAGAAAGGAAAAGCTAAATAAACAGACTTCAGAAAGGCAGAACCAGGGCATCTCTGAGAATGCCTTTTCACTAACACATTACCATAAAGTGACCAAGCTCCAGTGACTTTGCAGTTTCTGTCTTTCCATTTTAATTTTAATATCCAGAAGTAGACTACCAAAGTGAACATAATGATGTGAGGCAACAATTTCCCCTCTATTCCTCCTAATTTCACATAAAAACAAGATGACTGAAGGGTGTGTTTTTTTTTTTTAAGTTACACTTGTGGGAGTATGGAGAGAATGGGAGATGAGAATAAAATCAGCGAGAGTAATTATAATAGCGAACATTCATTGAGTATTTACTATGGACCAGATACAATGTTGAGTATTTTACATCCATTAACTCATTTCATTTTTATGATAACTTTATCAATTAGGGATAATATTTTTTAAATTTGAGAAAACTGAGGCTTAGAGAAATTAAGTATCTTGTCTCAGGTAGCATATTAGCAATTAGGAGTAATTAGAAAGCTGTTATAATAATTCAAAGCAAGAAATGGTAAGGACCTGACCTGACCTAAGTTAGTAAGATGGAACCAATAAAGCTTAGAGAATGGTTATATAAAGAATATAAGAAAAAAAGGAATCAAGAAGAACTCCTAGGCATCTGGATCAGAAGATGGAAGGTTTTTAATCAAAGTTGGAAGGTTTTGGTGGGGGGGGTTGTTTTCTTTTTTGTTAATCTTCACCCAAGGATATTTCTCTATTGATTTTTAGATAGAGTGGAAGGGAGGGAGGAAAAGAGAGAGAGAAACATCAATACGGGAGAGACACATCGATTGGTTACCTCCCGTATGACCACAACCAGGGCAGGAAATCGAACCTGCCACCTTTTGGTCTGTTGGCTGATACTCTAACTGCTGAGCCAGACCAGACAGGGCAAAGTTGAAACAGTTTTGATGGTGGAAATGTTAGGAGACACCTTGTTAAGTCGTCATTGTAAGGCATGTTACTTGCCTGTGGGACTTGTGAGCAGGTCTCCTGCTGTACTCTTGCCCACCTGCAGTCTCTTCTCCACAAAGAATTGTCCACCATGACCTTCAAGGCCCTACCTCCCTTACTTCATTGCATATGGCTCTTTCTCTTACACAATACACTTTAGACATACAGGGCTACTTTTCCCAAATGGTAAGTTTATTCCTGTCTTATGATCATTACACGAATGTTCTTCTCCAAGATCTTGTCATAGCTTTATCTCTTCTTGATAGTCACTCCTTTGTCAGATGTCACCTCCTCAGAGAAGTTTTTCCTGAGCACCCTTTTACCATGCCTCATACCAGTCTTCTGCCCTGTTTCTTCCCACCCCCAGACACCTTTTATTGACACTTATTGATCCCCAAAATTGTCTGTTTATAATTTAGTAGTTTATTGCTGTTTACCTCCTCTAGATTATAAACTCCGTGAGAGCAGGGACTATGTATATTCACCATCCGTACATGAGGACAGTTCCCCATAGTGTATGTAAACTCAATAAGTGTGTGTTAAAGGGTTAGAAAGTCCTATATGTGAACTCAGGGTGACTTATCAAACCACTTTAAGTCCATGTTAACTTGCAACAAGCCAAAAAATGTGAATTAATGCATTGTTATACATACTCATAATTAGTAAACATTAAATTTCTATAAAGAATTTACCCCAGTGATCCCCTTACAAAAATTATAATTTTGTCTAATCCTGCCATCTCCTTAGTAACAGATTTTAGAATTTGAAAATCTGGATGCTTTTTTCCTAACCTGAGGAAAAAAGTTCATCTTTGATAATTACAAATTTCTAAGATTTGTCTTTTTTCTTAAAGGCTCAATCTCAAGATATAGTGCCAACAATAGGATTCAGCATAGAGAAATTCAAATCATCCAGGTAATTCACTTCATTATTCTTGTGACTAAGAAGTTGTGGATAACAATGATAATAGTAGATCTACCTAGTAGTTCCTTCTACTCTTAGAAAAGTAATTTTTTTTTTTTTTCAGAAGTCCGTAGATGTTAAAATATTTGTACAACTACCCCTGGATTAATTTTCCAGAATTTAGATTTTAGACAAATGCTGATAACCTCACTAGCAAAGAAAACATCCTTTTTTTTTTTTCTGTTACGCATTACAAAATCATATTTCTATTCAACAGATTTATTTTACAGCATTTGTACTTGAAAATTGGCCCAGCCCTGGCTGGTTTGCTCAGTGGTTAGAGCGTCGGCCCGCGGTCCAGAGAGACCTGGGTTTGGTTTCCACTGAGGGCATGTACCTCAGCTGCAGTTTGTCCCCGGCCCCGGTTGGGGTTGTGCAGGAGGCGGCCACTTGATGTGTCCCTTTTACGTTGATGTTTCTCTCTCTCTCTCTCTCTCTCTCTCTCTCTCTCCCCCCCTCCCTCCCACTCTATCTGAACAAAAATGGAAAAATGTCTTCAGATGAGGAAATAAATAAATAAATACATAAATAAATAAAATTTAAAAAATAAAATAAAGAAAATTGGCCCAAGTTGAATATTGTATATTCAAGAGTGTTTTCTTTTTTAGATATTTGTTTTGATTTTTAGAGAGAGAGAAAGGGAGAGAGAGAGAGAGAAACATCGATGTAAAAATGTAACATCAGTCAGCTGCCTCCTGCACACCCCCCCGACTGAGATCAAGCCTATCTAGCCAACAACCTTTTGGTGCACAGGATAACATCCAGTCAACTGAGCCACACTGGCCAGGGCTCAAGAGTGGTTTCTTTGAAAACAATTTAAAAGTTTAAGTGAAAGTTACACTTTAAAGTTAGTAACTTATAGTCGTGTTTTTTGTTTGTTTGTTTGTTTGTTTTAGTTTGTCTTTTACAGTGTTTGACATGTCAGGTCAAGGAAGATATAGAAATCTCTGGGAACACTATTATAAGTAAGTATGTTTGTGAATGTTGTTAACTAGATGGGTATATCATAATAACAAATAATGCTTAGAAATCCAAATAATCACCTAGACTGGATTACAGTGTTTAATTTCATATAATTTAAGTGCATTTTCTAATTTAAAAAAAGTCATACTTCACATTATTTCTCATATGCATGAAATCTTTTATAACCTTGGACCTTTGCATATGCTAGTCTCTGGTTTTGTTTGTATTTGGAGGGTGCTTTGTTGTTGTGTTTTAAAGAATAGTTTATTGATTTTTTTAGAAAGAGAGTGTAATGTCAGTTGGCTGCCTCCAGTCCCCCTACTGGGGATTGAGCCTGTAACCTCTTGGTACATGGAATGATGCCCAAGAATCTGAGCCACACTAGCCAGGGCTGTTCTAAGTTTTTAACACCTTGTTCTATCCTACTTCTGTGCTGCTGAAAGTCAATATATTCATGCTTTAAGGACTAGCTCAAAAGTTACCCCATCTGTGAAATTTCACTGTTTTGCCCAGTTATTCTGTCCCAGTGTTCACACAGTACTTTCACATCTTTGTGATCATATTTATTACATCTTAAGAAGTTGTAAACTCCTCCTCAAGGGCAAGAATTAATTTTCATTCAGATTATTTCTTCAAGGCCAACTACGATACTAGGCGTATAGATCAGTAAATATTTATTGAATAAATTTAGTTAAAATAACCGTATTCTAACAGTTGATCCATTTGTTCTACAAGCAGTTCTGAAGATACTTGTCAGCATATGCAAGTCAAGCACTCGCCACTCACGTTAGATTAACAGCTGTCAAGTTACTAGGATCCAAACATGTTACACCCTCTCAAGGTTTGCATCCAATGTTAACGTGAATTCATTAACTTCTCTTATTGCTAGGACTCCTTCATTTAAAGGCAGTGTAATTCACTTTTAGAATCTGAAACTTATCAATATACCTTAACTAAATACCCCTTTGTCCTTATGAACTCTTTCTTTGAAATGGTATGTGATGACTGCCAGATCAGATTTTGATTTTGATGGGTTAATTTTTTTCCTGCTAATATGTAACAAACATTGTATTTCTCAGAAAGGAACCAAGAATATTTATTTTTTCAGATACTTTTTCAGTGAGTACTATAATAGATTAAGGCCTCTTTAAATCCTATATTGTCCAGAGGACCTCTGAGGTAGAGAGAAGAGTGCTTCACATTGAGGGTCAGTTTGGGAAAGGGAAAGTGGCATGTTACGGTATCTTGCATTAAATTTCCTGGGGAAATGTGAGTTACTTTTTTTTTATAGAAAACTTGAGTTTTCAGTATAGGATTTTTTAAATTCCTGCTCCAATTAGGTGGTTTAAAAAATCCCTCTTTAACAATTATGTATTTGCCCTGGTCGGTGTGGCTCATTTGTCTGGGTGTTGTCCTGTGCATAGAAAATAATGCTTCAAAACAAGGAAACTTTTTTTTTCTGATTTTAGTTCCCTTTTCTTCAAAAACTTTTTCAAAGAAGTTACTGAATTCATGAATATTACATAGATAACTTGTAGGTTGAATGGTTACTATTGAGGAGTTTACCATAATAGTAAATTAATTAATTAATTTATTTATTTTTAATCCTCACCCAAGGACATTTTTGCATTTATCTTCTGATAGAGCAGGAGGGAGAGAGGGAGGAAGAGAGAGAGAGAAACATCAATGTGAGAAAGACACATCGAGTGACTGCCACCCATACGACCCCAACTGGGGCCAGGGATAAACTACAACCAAGGTACGTGCCTTTAGCGGAACCAAAACCCCGGACTCGCTGGTCCGCGGGCCAACGCTCTAACAATTGAGCAAAACCAGCCAGGGCATAAATTTATTTTTTATATCTATACTTTGCTGATTATTAAAGAACAAGTGCATTTTAAGTATTAGACTGAAAGATTTAAAAGATTGCTTTTGAAATATATAATGTACACTTTACATAATTGAGAAAGGAGCCTTCTAAATTATATATTATACATAGTGTTTAATCCTACTTTTTCAGATAAGGGAGATCAGGAAAAACACACAAAGACTGTAACTCTAATGGCTGCCTAATATTTTTCAATATGCCTGCACCAAAATTTGCTTAACCATTTCTCTGTTTGGTTAAGAAGGCTATTCTCAGTTTTTGAGGATTAACAACCCTTCCATCAACATCTTGCTGCATAAATCTTTGTCACACTTCATGTTCTTTTAGAGTAGAAACCAGAAAAGAAATTGCTGTCTCAAAATGATTGAACATATTTAAAGCTCTTGAACGATATTTCCAGTCGTACCAGTTTCGATAGCCACTCGTGTAGTGTATGACTGTGATAATCCACATTTATTTTTTTAAGTGATAAGAGAAAGTGGTGTTAAAAAGTTGTTTCATTTTTATATTTGTGTGATTACTAATGACATTGAACTTTAAAATCTTAATTCATGACTGGAATAAGTGATTCACAAAAATATATAAATGTCTAATATATGAAAAGATATTGAACTTCACTAGCAATTAATGAAATACAAAGTAAAATAACGTACTGTTAGAATGGCAAAATTGAAAAGAATGATAGGAGCCATGCTGCAAGGGGGTAGGAAAGATGCTGGTAGTAGTATAAATTGATATAGCATTTCTGGAGTACAATTTATCAATGTTTATCTAAAACTTTAAATTTTATTATATATATTCCTAGAATTTTTATTTCTAAGAACAGATCTTTAAAGTTACAAGAAATTTTTAAAAATGTACTTAGGAGGATATTTATCTTAAAGTTCTTAATAATAATGAAAAGTGGAAATAACCTATAAGTCTATCTATAGAAGCTTGACAGTATTTGATGGCACAGCCATGCAGTGGAATACTTTATAACTATTAAAAGAAAGGGTGCAGAAGGAATCAAGTGATTTTTGAAGTGCACTGTAATCTATAAGTGAATCTGTAAACTACTTCAGTGGCTGGCTATCAGTGTAAAATACAAAATAAAATAAAAGCTATTTGTAAGTATTGTTTCAGGGGACCTGTTTCAAATATATTTACATATAATTATGTGTCTATTGCATCTTAATGTAAAACGTATTTCTTATTATGGTTATGGTAAAAATTATTTGAGAAGCACTTGAGTAGAGCTTTAATATTTTATATAAAAGTTTATATCAAACTATACTATGAAAAAGATCAAAGAAATGTACATGTCAGAAGGCAGTGTATAAAACAGGAGGATTCCATTTGTAGATGTAGATATTCATATGTGAATACACAAAATGTCAAAATGGATTTACATGAAAATACTAATGATTGTGTCTGTGTAATAGGTTGTGGTTTTACTTATAATTTTTTTAAAATTATGAAATAACAAGTCATTAAATTTACCCTATTATAATCTAAATGAAAAGAAATTATTTTACATGAAATACCACTAAAGGTTAATATATTAATCACTCATATGAACTAATAAGAAACAGTACCAAAGCCTATAATGATAAATGGACATAGGATATGAAGAGATAATACACTGGTTAGGACATGCAAATGGAAAGTAAACATGGGAAAATGTATAAGTTTATTTTTAATTTTTGCCATTTTTTATATTATACAGAGATGGACAAGCCATTATTTTTGTCATTGATAGTAGTGATAGATTAAGAATGGTTGTGGCCAAAGAAGAACTTGATACTCTTCTGAATCATCCAGGTATATGTGTGTGTATGTCAGTCTGTGATGTTTGTGCTTTGGGATCTGTTTACATAGGATGTTTTGTTCTTTGGTGTTAGCAAAAGGTATTACCTGCACTACACAGTTGTCTTTGATTTAAAATTTTAAATGTGTAATCACAGCATTTCTTACATGTGGGAACTCTTAACGTTCTTTTAAGATACCAGTATTAACAATTTGTTTTTGTTTTTCTTTCATACCTATATATATGCCATACCATGTATCTATATATCTACTATCTATATTACAGATACACATGCACCAAAGATATATACAGGGTTGGACAAAAGTAGATTTACAGTTGTAAGTATACATAATCCCAAATAAATTAATATTTATTCATTATTGTATTTCCATACAAACAACTGTAAATCTACATTTGTTCCACCCTGTACAGGGTTGGGGACTATGAGGACTGTCATTGTTATTTGCTAAAATAGGATTATATTCTATACTTCTGCATCTTTTCATTCACGAGTAACACTACATGTTGGAAATCTTTTCAAGTCAGGTTGCATGTATATGATTATTCTTTTTAATGTTGTCTAGTATACCATTCTGTGAGTTATCACAGTTCATTTACCAATTGATGAATATTCTTTTTTTTCACACTACAAACAGTGTTTCAGTATGTATTGTGGAACTCTGCATTTCTAGCTTACTCATGCCTGAAAAAAGATTTTAAGTGGTCTTTGTACTAGGACTTTTAGAAAAGCATAGTCATTTAGAAGAAGTGTGGATTTGTTTAGAAATGAAACACAAATAGTGTGCAACTTTCTAACAGTTCTTGCTATTTCACAATAACTTTGGTATTTTTATCAGACAGCCTCAAGCTTATTCAAATATTTTTTTAGGGAAAATTATTTATCCTTACTTTTTATGTGACTTTTTCACTTAAAAAAAAATTATTGGTCTTTTATCTGGGTTGGGAATACATTTTTGATTATGCATTCCCTTTGCATTAATCTTTTGCCTCTCTTCAAAAAGTGTTGTAATGCTGACCAATAAAATAAAATTGTTCCTACAAAATCTGCTTCAAACATAATGGGAACCTTGGTTTTTTTCAAGCGAAGCTTTGTCCATGTATCTTTATGTACTGATGTTTTCATTTTATGGGATAGATTCCCAAAGAAGGAATTTCTCAGCTGAGGTATATATGAAGTTTCTTTTTAAAATTGAAGTGTAAGTTATATACAGTGAAATGGTCAGACTTAAGCTCTAGTTCAGTAATTTTGACAAATGGATAGTCGTATAACTACACTCCCTATCAAGAAACAGAACATTCCATTATCCCAAAAATTTCTCTCATGGCCCTTTCCTATCAAAATCCCACACCTGGTGCCAGAGAAACTACTAATCTGATTTCTATTACCAGATTATTTTTGCCTATTCTATAATTTCACATAAATGGAGGGGAAAGTACATCATTTTGTTGTGCATAGATTTTTTTTTCCCATTCAGTGTAATGTTTTTGGGAGTCACTCATGATGTTTTATGTATCACATTTTTACTCCTTTTTATTGCTTTGTGATATATGAATATACCACAGTTTATCTAGTTTCTTATATATTGACATCTCGGCTGTTTCTAGTTTAGGGCTATTGTTAATAAACCTGCTTTGAACATTCTTGTAAAAGGCTTTTTGTAGACATGCTTTCATTTCTCTTGTATGAAATACTATTCTAGGAATAATATTGCTGAGACATAGGGTAGATGTATGGATAATATTTTAAGAAACTGCCAGATAATTTTTCAAAGAAGTTACACTATTTTGCATTTCAACAGCAATGTATGAGAGTTTCAGTTGCTCCACATCTTCTCCAACGGTTGATATAAAGTTTCATTTTAGCCTTTCTACTGAGTGTGTAGTAGGATCTCTTTGTGCTTTTAATTTGCATTTTCATGATGACTAATAATGTTGAACATCTTTTCATGTTCTATTTGCCAGTCTTATACATTCTCTTATAAAATATCTTTTTAAATATTTTGCCCATTTGTTTCATTTGGTTGTCTTCTTCTTGATGTATGATTTCTTTATGTGTTCTAGACATAAAGCCTCTGTCAAATATATGTGTTTTAAAGATTTTTTTTTCCAATCTGTTCTTGCTTATTTATTTTCTTCACAGTATCTTTTAAAGAATAGATGTATCTAATTTTGATGGTCTAATTTATTATACACACACACACACACACACACAAGTTTTCTGTGTATTCTTTAAGAAATCTTTACCACCCTGGCCAGTTTGGCTCAGCGGTTAGAGCATCGGCCTGCAGACCAGCCCTGGTCGGATAATGTGGGAGGCAACCAGTCAATGGGTCACCCTCACATCATTGTTTCTCTCTCTTCCTCCACCCCCCCCCTTCCTCCCACTCTATCTGATGATAAATAGAAAAATATCCTCGGGTGAGGATTTAAAAAAAAAAAAAGAAAAGAAACCTTTGCCTATCCTAAGATTACTAAGATATTCTTATGTGTTTTCTTCCAGTAGCATTATAGTTTCATCTTTTATGTTTAGGTCTTGGATCTATCTTGAAGTAATTTTTGTGCTTTTTTTTCATATATATATACATTTGTCCCAAATACTATTTGTTGAAAAATTTCTTTTTTCACTGAATTGGAAATCACTTGACTTTCACCTTTACCAGATATTATTTAAATATATATATATATATATATATATATATATATATATATATATATAATCAGGTCTATTTATGGATTTTTCTGATCTGTTCCATTGACCTCTTTTATGTGTTTTCATACTGCCTGGATTGCTGTGGACTTGTAATAAATCTTAAAGTCTGATAGGATAAATCCTCCAGCTCTCATCTGCTTTTCAGAAATTATTTTGGTAGTTCTAGGTCTTCCATATTTTTAAATAATTTTTAAATCAGCATGTAAATTTTTAAAGAAAAAAAAATTTTTTTTTAAATTTTATTATCCTCTCCTGAGGACATTTTTCCATTTTTTGTTCACATAGAGTGGGAGGAAGAGAGAGAGAGAAACATCAACGTGAAAGGGACACATCGAGTGGCTGCCTCCTGCACAACCCAACCAGGACTGGGGACAAATTGCAACCGAGATATGTGCTCTATCGGAAACTGAACCCGGGTCTCTCTGAACCGCAGGCTGACACTCTAACTGCTGAGCCAAACCGGCCAGGGCAAGAAAAACATTTTAACATTGGACTTAACATTGAATGTTTCAACTTATGAACATGGTATGTCACTTTATTTATGCTTTTCTGAATTTCGCTGTTATCTTTCACAGATTTCTGTATAAGTCTTAACATGTCTTTGATTCAAATTATATTTTTTATATTTTGGAAACTATTATAAATAGATATTTTATTTTATATTCTAATGGTTTATTGCTAGTGTGTGAACATAATCAACTTTGTGTTCTAGGACATGGTTACATTTATTAAATCATTTTTTGTGTACATTTCTTTGAATTTTCTATCTATAACATCATGTTTTTGGCAACAATCAAAACACATTCTACTGCTTTCATTTTGGTCTTTATGTCTTTTATTTTTTCTCTTGTTTTATTACACTGGTTAGGACCTCCAGGACAGTGTTGAATAGAAGTAGTAAGTCTTGTCTTATTCCCTTTTTTGTTGTTGTTGAGGTATAATCAACATATAACATTATATTAGTTTCAGGTGTACACCGTAATGATTTGATATTTGTGTATACTGTGAAATGATCACAATAAATCTAGTTAACTTCTGTCACCATACAATTACAAAATTGTTTTTGGCTTGTGATGAAAATTACTCTCTATGATCTACTCTCTTCATGACCTTTAACTATGTAATACAGTATTATTAATTATAGTCATGCTGTACATTATATACCTAGGACATAATTTATTTTCTAACTGAAAGTTTGCACCTTTTGAACTCCTTCACCCACTTCACCTCTGGCAACCAACCATCTGTTATCTGTTATCTATAAGCTCTTTTGTTTGTTTTTAGATAACACAGTTAAGTTAGAACATATCATAATTTATCCTTCCTTGTCTGACTAATTTTACTTAGCATAATTTCCTTGAAACCTATCTATGTTGTCTCAAATCACAAGATTTTGTTTTATGTGTGAATAATACAGTCGGCCCTCGTTTATTGCGGTTAATCAGTTCCAGACTCTACCACGATAAAGGAATTTCCGCAAAGTAGGATTCTTTCTTTATACACAGTTGTCCCTCACCACTTCGCCCTTCGACTTCCGCGGCTTCACTCTATCGCAGTGTTTTCAAATATAATATAGTATAGACTCGGTGGTTCTCAACCTTCCTAATGCTGCGACCCTTTAATACAGTTCCTCATGTTGTGGTGACCCCCAGCCATAAAATTATTTTTGTTGCTACTTCATAACTGTAATTTTGCTACTGTTATGTCTTAGGCGACCCCTGTGAAAGGGTCATTCGACCCTCAAAGGGGTCGCGACCCACCGGTTGAGAACTGCTGGGTGAAGCTGTAAAAGTAGCGTGAAGTGGCGAAGGACAACTGTATTCCATTGTGTATACATGCCATATTTTCTTTAGCCACACATCCCTGAACACTTAGGTTCTTTCCATGTCTTATTCTTATTTTTTGCATTTAATATTTTACCATTAAATGTAATATTAACTGTAGAGTTTTTCTATACATCTTTTTTAGATCAAGGTAATTTCCTTATATTTCTATTTTTTAAAAGTTTTCATCATTAACTAATGTTAAATTTTTCCAAATTCTTTTTCTACATCTTTAAAATGATAAATTTGTGAGGCTTCTGGTCAAGATGGTGGAGGTAAATACTATACTCACCTCCTCCCACAAACACTTCAAAATTACAGCTAAACTGCAGAACAACCATCAAGAATTGCCAGAAGTCCAGTTGAACAAAAGTCCTCTAATGAAGGATATACAGAAGAAGCCACATCAAGGCTGGTAGGAGAGACTAAGTTGCACAGTGGGCTAGTCCCACACTCACGA